AGAAGGAGAAGAAGGAGAAAAGTTCAATTCCCCAGCCTGAGCTTTGTGCCACCCTCCTGCAGGGATCTCCTGGCTTGGGCAGGGAGAGCTCTTGTTGCCCCAGAGCCCCTTGCAGGTCCCTGATACCCTGTGTTCCTCCAGCACCATGGACATTTTCCAGCCCCATTCCATCTTTTTCCYGGCTGGGGAGATGCCCCCTGTCCCGGCTGTGCGCTGTGTCCCTGTCACTGCAGTGCCACTGCCCAAGTCTTCTCTCTTCAGGCTCTGCTGGGGTTTCTAAAGGATGACCAGACTGGTTCCTCACCCTGGAGGCTCTCACACCTCTCCCAGCTTGGAGTTTCAYTGCCACCAGGCTGAAGTTCCCCTGTCCTCCCCCGAAGTCACCACCAAACCCTGCAACCTCGAATCCAGGCTGTGCTTGTGTGGCCCCCACAGAAACCCTTTGAATGCCCTTTGTCCTGTGGGCACCAGGGTCCCTCTGAGTGGGGGATCTGCTGCAGGTTCCTGTCACTGTCCCTGCACCAGGCAGAGGGGCTGGAAGGGGACAGGAGCCTCCTCCTGGGTTTGGCTGCTGCTTCTCAGGTAAATCAACGAATCACCCCACAAATCACCTCAAAAGCCTTTTCATTCCCATTTCTCCTCAACTGAACCCCCCAGAGCAGAGATGARGCTTGGCCATGACCTCGGCGATGTGCCAGCCCCATCCCCAGAACTCCCAGAGCAAGAAATGGTTAAAAAACCCCAAGAGCCCTCCTTTCCTGCCACCTGCAGCCCCAGCCGGGCCGGATCCTGGCAGAGCCACGAGAATCTCCTGGCTCCACACCCCGAGGGCAGCAAACCCCAAACCCAACGGCTCCGAGCCCCGTGTGCCCTCTTGGGCTGCGCTGCTGCCCGAGGGGCTCCGGACTGAGGGAGAGCGGCACCAATGTTAAAATGAACGCCCTGAGGGGCCCCGAGCAGGGCWCGCACCCCGGGCAGTCCCGGCTCCTTCTCCCACCTGCACACCCCGATCGGTGCGTACCTGCGAGCGGCCCCAGGGTCAGCAGGAGCAGCCCGAGCCTCTTGCCCAGCCCGGCCATATTTCAGTGTCCGGGAAACATCCAACCTCCGCTTCTGCAAACGCGGCGGCTGCTCCCGCTGCCCCGGCACCTAAAAACAGCAGCGCTGCTGCTCGGGGCACGGCCCCTTTCCTGCTCATGTAAATGCGCCCCGCCGGGGCTTTCCCTCGGGGCTGCTTTTGAATGCGGTGCAGACGCTGGAGCGGCCCTGCCTGCGGGCTGGGCACCATCCAGATGGGCATTGTCCGTGCTCCTGTCCCTGGGCATTGTCCAGACCCAGGTCCGTGGGCACTCTCCATTCTCCTGTCCCTGAGCACTGCCCATCTTCCTGTCCTTGGATATTGTCCATCCTTCTGTCCTTGGGCACCATCCAGACCCGGTCCCTGGGTTGCATTCATCCTGCTTGTCCCTGGGCATTGTCCATCCTCCTGTCATTGGTTATTGTCCATCCTCCTGTCCAGCCCCGTATCTCTGAGCACTGTCCAGTCCCATGTCCCCACGCACTGTCCATCCTCGAGCCCTCAGACACTGTCCAGCTCCATGTCCCTGGGCATTGTCCATCCTCATTTTCCCGGGCACCATCCAGTCCCATGTCTTTGGGCACTGTCCCTCCCCATACATCCCAGACACCATCCATCTCACCATTTCCCTGAGCATGGTCCAGCCCAGTGTCCATGGGCACTATCCATCCTCATATCCCTGGGTACTGTCCAGCCCCATTGTCCCCAGGCACTGTCCATCCTTGTATCTCTGGGCACTCTCCATCCTCCTGTCTCTGGGCCCTGACCAACCCTGTGTGCCTGGGCATTGTCCATCCTCCTGTCCCCTGTCCAGCCCTGTGTCCCCAAGCACTGTCCAGCCCTGTGTCCCCAGGC